CGCAGCTCCAGCTAAGCATGACCGCAAATGTTGAAGCTTTTCTATGTCAGCCAAGTAGGGGTCCTTATCTATCACCGAGATAAACATGGAGAGGAAATCTGAGTATTCGGTGTATCCACTAGAGAATGTAGGCAGTTTTACTTCGGGCAGGCGAATCCTATGCCCTCGATCAACCATGACAGTTGACTGATCCAGGTTGGGATCAAGGTGCATAGTGGAAGATGTTGGCATTCGAAGCTGACAGTTGTCAAGTTGCCGTCTTAGCCGTGACTTGACCGATACCATGAGCATTTCAAAATTGTCGCTAAGCTCACTGCCGATTTCCGAATAGTCTAGCTCCTCCAGCGCATTGTGGGCAAGCCTGAATGAGGCTTGAGTATGCTCAAGAAGTTCTAGCCGAACTGTCAACTCCGCGGACCCAAACAGGCAAATCGCGTCTTTAGCTAGCGAAATATCCATGCGCTTTAAGCTATTGTACACCGATTCGGCCTTGCACTTCAAGAACCGCACTTTAGTTTCAGCCGTCATAATATTATGGTCTGCCACTGTGCTGCCTTCGTCTAAACTCATCTGTGCGTATGTATTTGTATAAAGCAAACCGAAACGCACTGCACAACTCGGGAGTTTACAGTTACAATTGTCAGAAGTCTTTGTTTTTGTAACGGCAAGAAAGTACAGTTACCAGTTGGCGAGGCAGAAAATTTATTAGGACCAGCTTAAAGCGGAACCAGCCTTATGTAACAGTTGTTTTTTGTCTTCTTTGTGCACTGTTTCTTTTGCACAAACGAATTTCCACAGACTTGAATTTACGAATCTCGCCGGGGCCTCCACATGTTGAGCTAACAAGCCTTTTTGTCAGCTATTTTTAAAACAAATCACAAGGCGAGATAAATTCAATATTTCAGTTTATTAACGTTATAAATGTATGCAAGGGCTACGGGCTTTGCGAACACCGCAGCTTGCTATCAACAACAACAAATTTATGAGCTGGCGACGGACCGTAGGCGTTGAGAGGCGGGCTCAGACTGACAAGTCCAATTATAGAGAGATAAGAGGAGCCGCTTAGAAATGAGTGATTCTGATTCTCTCTTTAGTTGGAGTGGTTTGCCGCTGCGCTAAACAACAATCTTTGAGTATTTTTCTCAAAGTGTTGCTCACAAAGTTGCTGCTCAGGAGTATGGACCTTGGCCTTGGGCGGCAAGTCCTCCACAGACCAAAATTTCAGCAGGGTTGTGTCTATTGACTCTATCATTTCCTCCTGGCAGCTGAGATGTACCAACTTCTCAGCATTTATTATTTTTTCTGAGGCACATCTCCCTGACACTATCCAGCCGAGAACTGTTTTCTGCAAAATGGGAAACTTAGGCCCTTGCTTTATCTGGCCGACTGACAATAGTTCAAAGAACGAGTCTGCGCCTATAATCATATCTATTTTTTGGGGCTTGAAGAAGAATGGATTTGCCAATTGAATATTTTCAGGCACCCTCCAGCCGCTGGTGTTCACCGTTTGATCCGGATGATAACCAGAAATATTTTTTAATATGTAAAATTCGGACGACAATTGACTGCTACCCACTCGCGACTTGACTATCGTGTGTATTTTCTTGGTTGCTTGAGCATTAGTTCCTCCAATGCCCCGCAAGCTCTAACGCACGTCCTCTCTCTTAATTTAATGTCTCTGAGCGAGCTCGTCGGTCACAAAATTTACTTGTGGACCAGAATCGAGCAGCGCTCGAGCCAAAACTAATTCGCCACTTTTTGTTTGGACGCTCACGATGGCTGTGGCAAGAATAACTTTATCCGATGCAGTCGCATGCAAAACATGCGAAGTGGATAGAGTATTCTGCAAGAGCGTGGGCTGAGGAGGAGGTGGCAACGCGAGATTTGATTGCGAATAAATGTGCAGCAATGTGTTTCGATTTGCATATTTTTACCGTGTGGCCCTTACGGAGGCAGTTAATGCATAAGGGAGCCTTTTTTGCGAAATCGAATCTTTGCTGAACTGTTAGGGCAGCAAAAGCAGTGCAATTTCCTACTTTATGTTCTGCTGAGTTGCAAAACACACATACTTCGCGGTCGTCCATGGCAGCAACAAACGAAAAAATCCTGTTTCCATTCTTCTTTGGATAAGCCTTGCTCTGCTGAACAATTTTTGGCTTACACGCTTCTTCGGCAACCATATGCCGACTCACACCCGCTCCAAAGAGGAAGCGAGTTATAATCTAACTGTTCTTCCCATTTTCTTTTAGTTCCTGCATCGACTTTACCCATTACTAACTGGATGAGGATGGCATTCGTAATACGTTTGTCATCCCCAATGGACAAAAGAGAATCGAACAGCGCTGTGACTGTGTCGATCAGGTTTCTCAAGGCGGTAGCTGATGGCTGGGAAATCTTTGGCAGATTAAACAGTGTCGATACATTGTCAAAGGAAATTAAACAATCATTATCGTACACCCGCCTTAGGCTAGCCAGAGCTTTTGGATAATTATCCGCGGTAACTTGGAATGCCCTGACTCTTCCTAGCGCGTCTCCAGCCAAACACGATATTAGATTGTTGAATTTTTCGATATCGTGCAGCGTGTTATATTTGTCAACAAAAGTTTCGAAAAGGCTTATACAATTTTTAAATTCGGAATGTTTTCCGCTGAGGGTTGGAAGAGCGACGCTCGGCAAACGGCATTGGGGTGTGCGCGTTGCCGGCGGAGCGGAATTGTCAACGCTCTTACGCTTTGTTTCCGCAATTAGGGAAATTAGCAACGATTTTGCTATTATCGCAGTCTCTTCGAACTCTTCGCGGTACACATCATCTCCATCTTTCGCTTCAATTTTATTTTGTATAAGCGAAGCATTTTCGATGTGCGTATTTAGAATTTCTAATCGACATTCTAACTTAACCGTATTTAAAGAGAATCGACCCTCATTTAAATATCTTTGCGTTCGCTCTCCTCATATATCCATCTCGTTGGTTTTCGATGTCCTGGTTTATTACTTTCTGATTTTGGCATTTTGGTTTTTTTTGTTTTGGTAATTGAAGAGTTTTAAATTTAATTTATTTTAGTTTTTTTTTTTTTTTTAATTATATGTATGTAAATGTGTACAAAAAAATGTTGTTTTTAAATTTATTAAATTTAAAAATAATAACCAACGAGAGGAATAAGCTGAACGCAAGCAAGGAAGGAATCCTAATTTGTTTTAATAATTCAATAATTATAATATGCCGAGCGCACGTAGTGTAGGGGAGCACACGCCAAGCTCAAACACCAAAAAACGAACAAACGTTTAGGCAGCGGCAACGCTTGCACCGTTCCAGCGATCGAAAACGAAAACGACGAAAGAGAACTCGAAAGAACGGGCTGCGCTGTCTGTGTGTGTGTGTATGTGTGTACGGCTGGCGGTGCTCAACGCAATGCTAACGGAGGATGATGCACTGACCGATAACTAAGGGCAACGAATATATAAACCTGACGCTTAAAAGCGCGGAAAATGGCGAAAAGCGAGGGAAATTTGAAGAAAATGCGCGGCAGAAAATTTGCCGGGGATTTAATTCTGGAATTATAACTTTTCACAATTCTCAACTTTTACCTTTTTAATTTTTTGCAAAGCTATAATTGGTGTTCACTACGACGAGAAATGGGGGAATTTTATTTTTTAAAAAACCAGGATGCCGACAAATATTTATTTGATTTTGGTCCAAAACGATTCACTTATGTATGTATGTATGATTCGAAATATATATATATGTATGGATGTATGTATGTATCAGAATTATAATCGTTAGTACATGCAAGTTTTATTTATTTCTTGGTTAAAGCCTAGTATCCTGATCGACGAAAACCGAACGCCAGTCATGAGAGAGAGCGAGAGGCAAACAGCTGGCATTCACTTTTCGTGAAGCTTTTTTTTGACTTAGGTCTCCAGTTCGACGAAAAAAATACCAGAAAATTGCATCGCGTTGCCAACCACCTGAAATGAACTTTGGGTGAACCCTAGCAAAAAGAATAAAAATTTTAATCTTTCGGCGTGCGCTTCTCATCGGAAATTTAAAAAATGGAGGGAAAACATCAGAAAACTCGTAAAAGTCGGTTGTTGGAGTTCAACAGTGAAGAAAAAAAAGCACTAATTCGATGCGTGGAGTCGCGCCCAGAATTGTGGGATCTGTCCAATAAAAAGCATTTTAATGCAACATTTATTAAAAGATCCTGGGAGGAAATAGCCTGGGAAATGGACAAAGATGGTAAGTTACAATTGTACATTATTAAATATTTGTTAACGTAGACATATACAATATTTATGTTTAGATAATAGTTGCAAGCAGGCGTGGAAGTCTCTACGGGACAGCTACAAGTACCACAAGTGCAAGCAGCCAAAGAGTGGAAGTGCTGGAGGAGACCTACTGGAGAAGCCAACAGGTGCTACGGAGTGGGATTTCGCCCACTACATGAGCTTCCTGCCGGACTTATCCACGCAGAGGCAGTAGGTTCTGACCAAAATTTTTTTTACATTATACAAATATAATTTATTTTAAACAGAACAACCCATTCTGTGTTTTCGGAGAGCGACGGAGCACAAGCAATGGACTACTCCATTGAGGAAACTCAAGACCCTGTTGAAGCTGGCTTTTTGGAAGCGGAGGCGGAGCTGGAGGTCGAGCTATCTGAGGCCCAAAAGGAACTGTATTCCTATGTAAGTTGCCCAATTTCTATTAAATAATATAATTTCTTATGAAATATTCCTATACTTTTAAAGGGTGGAGGAAGAAGGAGCGCCAAGAAGCGAAAGGTGGAGGAAACACCAGCAGCCAAAATGTGCGACATGCTGGGCAACTTTCTGGAGCAGCAACAAAAGGCTACCCTTCCCACTCCTCCAAGGCCGGTGTTTGCCTACTGGGAATCGATTCTTAGCACGCTTCCTCCGGAACGTGCTGCCGAAGTGGAAAGGAAGATGACCCGGCTTCTGTGGGAGGAGAAAGACGCCAGTTAAAATAAAAATAAAAAATATTTAACATTGCAAAATAACTTTTATTGTTTTTTTAATTTCTTTGCACACCGGCAGACTCGTCTTGCCAAGGTACACTTCCAGCACTTCCGTTTAAATATTCTTTAAGGTTGTTTCGAACCTCCTTACTGAAGTCTTGTGGGCGACCTCGTCGGCAGGGTCGCAAGTCGGTCAGGACAGTGCTTGGTATCTCCTGCATCGAGTAAGTTGCTGGACTCTCCCGCATCAAAAAATTATGCAAGGCACAACAGGCTACAATGATTTTTTGAGCTTTGCATGGATTGCTTAACAAAGTTCGTTGTACAGCCATCCACCTAGCGCTGAGAATGCCAAATGCGTTCTCAATGCAACGATGAGCCCGACTTAGCCTGTAGTTAAAAATCCGCTCCTCCCTATGCAGATCCTTGCCACTATACGGCTTCATGATGCGCTTATGAAGGGGGAATGCATCATCACCAACAATGTAATAAGGGGTTCGATGGCCGTTTATAACATTGTCCTCCGGAAAGGGCAGCTGGTCTAAGAGCAACTGTTTGCCAAGAGCGCTGTGGGAGAAGGCATTCATGTCTCCTTCGCTACCAAAAGCCCCCACATCAATGTAGGTGAAGCGATAGTGAGCGTTGCAGATTGCCATAAGCACAATCGAATGAAAGCCCTTCATTACAAACGATTTTGTTATTAAATTCTATTGGCATTTAAAAAGTACTTACCTTATAATTGTAAAAAAGGCTTCCGCAATTTGGCGGGCCTTTTATCGCCACATGCTTTCCGTCGACAATCAGCATATTCCCCGTCGTCCACTTGGGGAATTCATCCCGCAAAGCAGTCCAAATGGCAATAGACACCTGGAGGAGAATCACTCCAAAATGTTGCTTACTGATCCGATAAGTTGATCCAATGTGGCGTTGCAGGTCTCCAGAGGCAAGAAATCTAAATAAAAGGATACAAAATATAAATATATTGTTATCTAAGACTAAATATTTAAAATCTAATTACTCTAAAACGATGGCCAACTTGGCTTTTATTGGTATAGCATCTGGGCGAGTGTTCCGTTTCGGTATAAGGTACTGCTCCACCATTCCAAAAAGAGTGTTAAAACTCTTCTGAGGCATGTGAAAGTTTTCGAAAAACATTGAGGGAGTCTGCAACAAGTTTTGAAACTTTAAAATGATAAGAAAATATTTTTTAGTGCACGAATATTAATACATTATTGAACAGTATTACTTACGTCGGAAGCATATCGGCCTTTAAGGGCCCTTTCCTGCAGATATGGGCTCACCCAATATTTCGGCCGCTGTCTTTTGTCCTCTTCCTCTAATGCCACAATACATGCCGCCATGCTGACAACCAAAATCAAGCTTGTGTTTTTTGAACTCGACATTTTCGTTTCATTTAACTTTGTTTGCTTTTTTGTTTGTCAACAAACCCAGCTGATTGACAGTAAGACCGTAGTAAGCTCAGTTCGGATGAACTCTCGAAACTTTGGTCACACTGGAAAGATTAAAGTTTTTACGCTAGCATAATCGTTTGTCGATCAGGATACTAGGCTTAAGCCTAGTATCCTGATCGACGAAAACCGTACGCCAGTCATGAGAGAGAGCGAGAGGCAAACAGCTGGCGTTCACTTTTCGTCGGGCCTTTTTTCACGTCGGTCCCCTGATCGACGAAAAAAATACCAGAAAATTTCATAGCGTTGCCAGTCTACTGAAATGAAGTTTGGGTGAACCCTAGCGAAAAGATTAAAAAATTTAATCTTTTGGCGTGCGCTTCTCACTGAACATTATAAGAAATGGAGGGAAAAACTCAAAAAACTCACAAAAGTCGATTGCAGGTGTTTACATGTGAGGGCAAAATAACATTAATACTATCTGGGGTGCCTCTTGTCAGAGCAAACTGTTTTTTAAGTCCAGAATGTACGAAAAAACACAATAAAAGTGCAGCTATGAACTTTAAATTAGCAAATAATTATCAGTAAATTAAAAAAAACAACTGTTAAATTTAAATTGTATTGTTTTGTAATTTCTTTGTACAGCGGCAGACTTGTCTTGCCAAGGTATTTGATAATATCTTTTAAAGGCTCTTTCCCGCAAATACGATATTTGAATTTTAACTGCTTGTCAACAAACCCAGCTGATTGACAGTACGACCGTAGCACGGTTAAATCCGATGAACTCTCAAACTTTTGGTCACACTGGAAAGATTAAAGTTTTTACGCTAGCGTAATCGTTTGTCGATCTGGATACTAGGCTTTAGAATGCTCGCTATCTACCGAATTTTTCACACGAATGCAAAATGTTGAAAGATGGGCCAAAACACAATTTATGACACGCCACAGATTAACTTCCAACTTTTAGCACTCTATACCTGGTGGGTCGATTCACATCCGTCGGTAACTTCCCTCTTCGAATCCATATGACTTCCTTCCTTCTGGCAGCAACGACGAATTTACGGAGACGGGCGAATTCGCGAGAGCGATTAAATCTTTATTGCGCTCCCGCTCCCGCCTTACACTATTCAACAAATATTATAAACGCAAAGTGCGCGAACAACAATAGCCATGGCTCTTGGAGGCCGCATCGAAAACTATTCTAAGTTTATCGGGTTTTAGCTATTTAGAACACCAAAATGTAGTAGATAGTATGTCAAGGGCGTTATTTTGTTTTTGTCTATGGAGTTTAATTTCTTTAAATACCCCTTTTCTATGTATGGCTCAAGAACATCATTGTACTTTTTTCCGTATTCAGGGTTTTTGTCTATTTTTCTTTTTCATAATAGCATCCGAGCATAGGCGTTGTTATAACTTTCCGGTAGTTGTGTGTCGTCGCTTTTCCAAAAAAGTCCACATTGAAATCTGCCATCCACTCGATTTAGCGTTTTATCAACAATTTCCAGAGACCTTTTGTCGTCAAGTGAGATTGGTATGTCATTTGGTGTTAATAACTCGTTATCAATAGACCAATAAGATTTAACAAGAGTGTGTAAAATATCCAGATCATCTTTTGGATTGTCGTTTCCTGCGCAGTTGTATACATGGAATGAATAATTTCTGTCTGAAATTTCCTTGTTTATTCCAACAGTTTCCAGCCTAGAGAAGTTTTACTGGCAACTGGTCCATTGAATGATTGATAATTTAGCTTTCGAGATACAATGAGTGACCAATTATCCTGACCTATCAAAATTTTTGGATGGGCATTTTGGTATGAACAGAACGAACATTTTTTCAAAAACTCATAGGTCTCATTCATGTCACTTATTGAGAGGGTATGTAAAGGTAAATTTAGGCGTGATACAGTTTTTACTTTTTGTAAAGTAAATGCTTTTGCTAATGGCTGCATTCCTCTGATTCCTAAACTAACTACTTTTGAATCAACTTGTTCATACATTTCGTTATTAGTCCATTGCATCATCAAGGGACATGTCGGTCCCTGTAGTCCTATATCACTTGCAACCTGCTCATCTATTAACGAAACTGTTGAAGCTTCTTCAAGTAGTGCGTAAGTGTCAATTTGTTTTTGAGGGCCTATCAGTGTAACTGGAATAACTTTAAATAGAATTTTGTTACAACCAAAATTAACATTACAATTAGTATCTGGCTTAGTTTCGTGTTGATTAAGATTTTTTGGCATCTCCAGAGAAGAGCTTGGTGCGTCGTTTTTGTCCTTATGGAATACAAAATTGTGGTTGTAGTTGCAGTTTACTACTTTGCACTTTTTCTTGCGTTTACAATCTTTAAGAACATGATTCTTGGCAAGACGTGATATGCATAGTTAATATTTAATGCTTTAAATTTTGGACACTCTGTTAGGTAATGATCGGTAGACTGACAAAAGTTACAATAGTATTTGGATTTTTCAAAGTTCTTGACAGTACTTGATACCATTAGTGTGGAGTCTTTAGACTTATTTACCCCGAATCCCAACGATGTGGCCGCTTTTATAGTTTGACCTAACCATTCGTGAAACACAATTACTTTTGGCTGAATAGTTTTGATTTTTTGGAAATGTTTCACAAAGGCTATTCGTTGAGACACCTGTACTTTTTCTAAAACTTCTTCAAACAATATATTATTACTAATTTGATCAATATCATTGAATGACAACAATGTTTGTATGAGATTTGTAAGCATATCATAAAATGTGATGAGTCTGTCATATTTATCATCTTTTATTACTGGGAATTGCCTAATTTTGTCTATCATCAGTTTTACGATATGACTACAGTCTCCGAAACGATCTCACAAAATAACAATTACATCATTTACATTGTCTGGCAGAAGGAGAAGTGATTGTACACACTCTCTTGCACGACCTGTCAGTGCCCTTCTTAGGCGATTGATATTTTCGTAATTGCTAAAATTACGAACTTCAGTGCTGTTTTCATACTCGGCAATGAAAATTGGCCATTCTAGTGGGTCACCACTAAATGTAGGTAGATCTTGTTTGATCGTCTGCCTTGCCAATTGGATCTACATTTATATTAGTCTTATCTTGATCTGTTAGTGCATGCTTGCGTTAATTTGATTTAACTCACTCACGTGTCCTGCTCTCGGTTTGTCCATCGCCTTTAAAGCATCCCTCCTGAATGTCTTGCAAGTTGTCCTGGTTGTCTTGAAGGCTTTCTTCCTGGTCGTCATGAAGGTTGTCTTCCTGGTCGTCATGAAGGCTGTCTTCGCCCTCGATCTAGTTTCAATTGCTTCTCCTGAAACTCCAGCTACATTCGCTGAGCTTTTAGTTGTTGTTGCTGCTTTAAGTGCACCATTTGAAGCTGAAGTTTTTGAACTTTGATTGATTTTTGAGAACGATGGCTTCTCTCAGATCCTAAGTCGTTCCTCCTGTCTGGAGTACTCTGGTTTGGTGTAGTCATTGCAACTACCGTAACAACCGACTGATCGTGTTGTAAGATTTGCTCATTATGATTTTAAAGACCAATGTTTGGTCGTGACGTCATTTGAGTTTGTGCTCTTTTTTTTTTGGAACGTGTGTTCGGCATTTTTCTGTTTTTTCTGCAATTCTAGACTTAAAATACACCCAAGAATAATATGTCCTTGGCCAAATGTATGTATGTATGTTCGAGATTTGATTGATCTAGTCGTCGTCAATGTATATGTGTCTGCGTACCCTTTCGCATGTGCAAATTAGTTTAAATGGGTTTACCGCAGTTAGTCCCTAGCTGCAGTCCCGTGGTCGATCGCCGGTTTGGTCGATTTACGTTGGTACGTGGATGGTCACTGCTGGCCTAGGGACTCAGTCGGTGTTCAAATAATAAATTGATTAACGGCAGTTGCCGGAGTTTGCTTGACGAGCGATGTGCTCTTTATTGGATCAAAAGCAGAACTAAAACTTAAAGCTAACATAAATGAGCTTCATAGCGGCCACTCCAATGGGCAGTGTTTGCCGGCTATGCACGAGCATACGGCCAGACGCTGTGTCAGCAGTTTGGCCGGCGCGATGTTTACGTAAACTGTGGTCAACAACTTTGGTTTTGCTGGCCACAGTTAACTACTCCCCCTTTTAAGTTAAGGCCGCCCTCGGCCGATCCTAAATCTGCAATCACTTCCTTTATTTGGCTGGCAGATCTTTTTGCCCTACTAAGTCGCTGGTAATTAGAACAATGCAGATGAGCGCACAGCATATTGCTCCTACAATAATTGCTGCGAGATGCATTTGGTTGTCGTCGATCTCGTCCCGGAACTCCTTGATAAACTCCAAGTTGCGTTCACTCAAGCGGTGAAGGTACGGGAGGCTGAGAACATCTTGGTTGACAGTGATGTTCAATAGGGGGGAGCTTTCTGCCCCTGGAGTTCTCCTGTTTATCGAAGGTGATGAGGTGAGTGCCATGCATCCAGACTTCTGTCCCGTTGTCCACTCGAACCTTGGCCAACCTATCGTTGATGATCACGATCCCTTCGTCCACGTATGTGATTGGGTGCAGGTCGCTCTGTTGTGTTCGTCAATGCGCCATCCCACCTGCATGCAGCTCTTTGGCGCATGAACTCTCTGACGCCAAACGGCAGAATGTGGCTCCCGGTGACAAGGAGCATTTTTTAATTGCGTGAATTTCTCCGCCGCAATCCGCTATAATGTTGTCTATTATCTGCAGCATTGTCTCACCATGGGCTAGAAAATGGTTATCTTTTTGCATGCCAATTTTATTCTAGGAAATTTTATAATAAAGTGTAAAACGTTAACGGACTGCAGAATCTTCACGGACGAAGTGGACAAAAGATCCCCTATGGGAGTGTTGGTGGGTTCCTCAAGCCAAACTGATTTTAAGACTTCGTGGTCTAAAATATTTGGACTAACAATATTAATTTTGGCAAGGGTTATTGCAAGTATTAAATTCTGTAATTCCATCATCAACATTCTGTTTCTAGCAAGTAGCGTCTCATATAAGTGTCCAGTGTCTACTTGTGAATTTTTGGCTGACCTCAGAATTTGATTAACGGTCGATGTTAGCTGATTAATTTGATTTTGAAATTTAGTGTTTATTTAAATTTGCCTATTGCTTGACTCAACCAACTTCATTTCGGTGAATCTGATTTTCTCTAAACCACCGGCGTCTGGTGTCCCTGCTACGACCTTTAGCGCTGGCCCTAAGAAATCTAGACTCCTAGCTACTCGATGATGAATGGCCAACGACTCCAACAAGTCCTGGAGGTGGGCGGTATCTACGCTTAGAAGCTTCTTTATATTGGATAGTGGAAACATGTTTAATATGTTGTCTGTTTCTTTCACCACGCGCGCATACTCCGAGAAGTTCGCTGTATGAGTAACGAACGCGAACTCTTCACACATTTCCACGGTGTCGGTTATTCCGGTGTTGATTTTTAAACATCGGCTGAGTTCCGATAGGGTACTATGGGTACCTGCCCGTTTGAAACTCTATGTAGAGGCGGTGCATTTGCAATGCTAACGCCAAAATGATTATTGGGCAAGGTTGATATTGCCTGCGACTTCAACGATGGTTCGTTGTTGCAATAGATTACCCTAGCTTTTGGAAAATAAGTCATCAGCTGAAGTAAAGCTGGTTTAAGATCCTCAATGGTCCTTGAGTGGACGTGTTGCACGACAGCAAATTTCGAAAATTTGTCGATGCAAGTGAGGAAATATTTCCTGTCGGTGGAGTATACGTCTATGTGCAGTATTTCTCCTATATGAGAGGGGATTGGTGTCGCACCCAGCTCCTGTTTTTTTGGATGTCTGTCATATTTGGCTCTCGCGCATGTCTTCGAGACAACTTCGCTGGCCAATTTTGCCATCTTTGGGAAGTAGTACTCAGAGAGCACTTGCTTTACATTTTCTTGGGCCGATCTATGGGCCCTATTATGCTCAGCTGTGATAATTTCCCGCCTCTCAGCAATTGCGAAAATGTCTATTACCTGATTTTTGCAGTGCCAAAATTTTGTTGCTGAAAATTATCGAACCAGCTAGTCCTGTACCATGGCCAACGTGTGTAGGTCACAATGGATGGAGTTTACACCATAAGGAACGATAATATCTGCGATTTCTCTGAGCAATGATTCTTTGCACGAGAAGCTAATTAAGTGACGCCTTTTGTTCCCAAACAGTATGAAGCTGCGTTTCAATGGGGAGCGCGCCTCTTCGAGAACCAACTGGTTCTGGAAGCAATTCAGCGGTTTGTCCGTAGACTCAATGGTGTGGGTCAGGGAGAGTTCGAGGTGTATCGTGGCTATGCATGATTCAGCTTCCTGCCCTTCCATGGCATTGAGTTGTTGTCTGGACAGCGCGTCCGCGACCAAGTTCTCTTTACCAGGCTTATAAAAAATACGCGCACCTGACTCATCGATGCGCGCCTTCCACCTCTTGATTTTAGCGTTCGGATTCGACTCCGAGACCGCCAAGGTTAAGGGCTGATGATCAGTAAAGGTATTTATGTCTTTTATTGCGTACAGATAGTGGCGTAATTTGGCCAATGCCCAACTAATAGCTAACAATTCCCTTTCATTTGTAGCATAATTTATTTCCCTGGCCTTTAATGTTCTTGAGATCATTGTGATTGGACGACCCTCTTGGGACAATACCGCGCCAATGCCATAGGCCAATGCATCTGTCGTTAGATCCAATGCTTTTTTATAATTGGGGTATCTTAGCATGACGTCCTCAGATGCCAAGATATTTCATAGCTTCTGAAACGCTTGTTGCAGCTCCTCAGAGAACTGGACCGAAATGTTCCGTGACCTATGTCTACTAACCGTTCCGTTTTCCCCTTTCAAGATGTCCGAAATGGGTCTTGCTATTGCTGCAAAATCCTTTATGAAACATCTGTAGTAGCTTGCCAGGCCAAGGAATGATCTGACCTCAAACACGGGTTTTGGTTCCAGGAAGTCTTTAATGGCTTTGACCTTCTCTGGGTCAGTTGTTGCATCATTGCTGGTGACTATGAATCCCAGTGTGATTTTTCTACGGACACCCTCATGTTTGCTTCGTAGAGGTTCTTTAAAACCCAATCTACGTGTGTGACATGTGATTCTTCATTTTCAGAAAAAATAATCACATCATCCACATATACGAAACAAAATTTGCCGATTTGTTCTCGAAAAATGTCGTCGATTGTCCTTTTAAAAATGCAGGCAGCATTTTTCAGACTAAAAGGGAGTCTGTGAAATTCATATTTCCCCCCGTTTACCGAAAAATAAGTTTTTTCGCGATCACGCTCTGCGATCATGATCTGGTGGTATCCTGACTTAAGGTATTTGGCCTTGCCTAGGTTTCCCAATATCATGGAGATATTTGGCATGGGGTACTTATCAGATACCGTTCTTTCATTTAGCTTGCGAAAGTCAATTACTAGTCGCATATTTTTGTTGCCCATTTCATCAGTGCCCTTCTTGTCCACTACCCATATTGGGTTGTTGTACGGAGACACAGATTTCTGGATTATGCCGTTCCCAATAGATTTTGGATTTCCTTGTTAACAAAATCGGCCGCCCCCATGGCGTACGGATACAGTTTTGCTTAAATAGGTTCTTCATCTATTGTTCTTATCGTGGCTACTACCGAAGTGTTATACGGTAGTGCCTCATTGGCATCTTTGATTACAGGAGCAATCTACGTTAGTAAAATTGACATCAGCACAGGTATGGAAGGAAATTTCTTCGACTTCCGTACCCCATTTAGGACTCCCAGATTTTAAGCAAAGCGATGCCCCAGCCTGTGTTAACAGGTCGAGGCCGATTATCCCATCGAACGTTGATAGGTCCGATAGAATAAAGAATGTTGCTTTTATATTGAAAATTGAGACGAGGCATTTCTGTGTTATTTGGGTTGTGCCATGGATTGAATAAATATTGAAAGGGGCTTCTACTGGACGGACGCCTTTTAGCCCCTTGTAAGATCTAATAATATTTTTAGAAGCGCCCGTGTCTATGAGGAATTTCATGGAAGCCCCCGCTACTCTTCGTCTGAGGACGGGTAGCAGGGATTTTCCCCTAAAAAATTGAATTGAATTGAATCGTATTCTTCAATGGCATCGTCATCAATTTTTGCCGCTGCACTGGAGGCTGCGCTAGAAAAAATTTTGTCCTTCTGCTCGCCGCTTTGAGTGACATGATTGACTCTTTGTCTTTTAACGGGGCCTGAACGGCCGGACGCAGCCGGCTTCCCGCTTTGGTAAGCCTGAGCTTGGGTCGGTTGTACAAACTTAGAAATGGATGAGTCAACAACCATTGGCTCCGGAGTATTATTTTGCGGTGCAGAATGCACCTGGGCCCTATGCGGCTTACTAAAGTGCGGGTTTTTACCGGCACCAAACTGCTGATTTGGCTGCGGGAAGGGCTTGTCTTGTTGGCGATCTTGTGGCTTTGGATTTTGCCGACGATCTTTGTCCTCCTGCCTTCTTGCAAACGTAGTTGCGAAAATGTATCTTTCGTGGTTCGATTCCACTTCCTGCGCCAGGGCCAAAGCCGATGGCATGTCTTTCGGCTTCGCCGAGAAGAGTACATATGAGAGGTTTCGTTTCAGGCCTGAAATGAACACACGTAAAGCATCCTCACGGAATTTGGCACATAAAATTGTCGCCATTGACGGGTCGTACGACATATTGACTTTATTTGTCAATAAGGTGAGTTTTTTCTCAATCTAATCGTAATATTGTAAAAGGGTCATGCCAACCTGTCTTAGGGTACCCAATTCTTGTTCAATGACATGCATTGGACGCTTGTCACTGAACGTGAAGTCAAGACGACTTACTAACGCGTCGAAATTCAGTACCGTGCCGAATGAGGACAGCACGGCGTCGGCAGGGCCCCTAATCTTACTTCTAATGATGATGACTGCCTGGTAGTGGCGAGAGGTACCATCATACCGTCTGAAAATGTGGTAAGCGGCCGTGGCCGCCTGCCGCCAGGGGACATACGTTTCCTGTGCGCCCGAAAATTCGGGCAAACATTTTACAGCATCTAAAGGTTCGTTACATTGTATATTATCATCTATTTGAATGGCCGTGTATGTCTTTATTTCTCCGGCCGTTGCTGATGCAGTACTTACTGCGGCCATCCTGCCGGCCAACTCCTCGATTTGTTGTCTTAACCCCTGCACTCTTATGTTGTTCTGAGCGGCCTGTTCTGCAAGGGCATTACTAACTGCTGCCTGTATAACCTGCCTATGTTGCTCGGGATCCATGACGTCTGTAGGAGGGACGGGGGGCTTGCGTTTTGGGGTTGAGGCGGGGACTTGCTGTATACTCTCGGAATCTGAGTCGCTTGAGTATTGTTTTCTGTTCCTATATTGGAGAAACGGATCACTCATGGGCAGTTGAATTTAACTGCACAGAAAACCCGTGCACGTAAGCAAAAGCGCTGTATAAACATAAACAAAGACAAAGTCGAAAGATTTTGGGGGTCGTATTTCCTTTCCATATGCGGGACAATAAAAACACCAACAATGTCTGCAGGGTGACAGAATGTGCGGCCGCTGCATAAAATTATATTTAGTACACAGTAAAAAAAAAAATCACCGAAATGGCAGGCGAGTAAGCGATGCGCCTTTACACAGAAAGAAATAAATAATAAATAATACAAAAATAATAAATTTATTATTTTAATAAATAATTTCGTATCGAAAATTATTGTTTTTATATGGACACAATAAAAAATAACTTAACTGTGGCTGTTAAATTATAAATTATGAAATTATAAATACTGAGATTTTCCAAAAATTCACTTTTCACTCGTTTATTTATATATTTGACTTCTTTTATTTTTTACTTTGTTGTTACAAGAATTAAATGGACAGAATTAAATGCTCATTTTTCTTGAGACAGTTGTCCGAACTATTCAAATGATTTTTATTGAAGACATAAAAGTTTTGACCGAAGGGCCCACTTACATGTTTTCCCACTAGTTGAGCGCCAATTAGTTTAAATGGGTTTACCGCAGTTAGTCCCTAGCTGCAGTCCCGTGGTCGATCGCCGGTTTGGTCGATTTACGTTGGTACGTGGATGGTGGTTTTGCTGGCCACAGTTAACTTGCATGTCCAAGATCTAGCTCGGCAATACATACACACTACATGTGAAAATTTTGGCTGATGAAATTTCGCGTTGGTTTTGCGTAATCCATGTGCCGTCCAGTAAGCAAAGAAGGACTGTGACTGTGCTCTAAGTCGCTTGGTCAAAAAAGATGCTGTTCAGTTGAAAAGAATGGCAACCTCTCCGATACGTCGCGATAATTTAAGGGGGTTACACTTTTCGATACATTTTAAATTTTAGAAAATACGTTAGCTTTTAAATTAAAGAAACATTTATCAACATTCTCCTCCCAAGTATTGTAGTCGTTACTTATTTCAATCTAGACGACGGCAATACTTTTACAAAATTTTGGGCTTACATCTAGTTTAATTAATTTAACAGAGGGTCTCTTATAAATACTGTTTTTAATCTTTACATCGACAATTCGTACTCGACCATCGTTTGATGGATATGTCTTGACAATTAGGCCTTTCGGCCAGACATTTCTCGGCACATCAGGTTATATCATTAATACTATATCACCTTTGTAAGACGATATTGTCTTTTGTCCATTTACGACTACAAATAAGAAATTGTCTATATTCCTTTTTCCATTTTAAAGCCTAGTATTCAGATCGACAAACGATTACGCTAGCGTAAAAACTTTAATCTTTCCAGTGTGACCAAAAGTTTGAGAGTTCATCAGATTTAAGCGTGCTACGGTCGTACTGTCAATCAGCTGGGTTTGTTGACAAGCAGTTAAAATTCAAATATCGTATTTGCGGGAAAGAGCCTTTAAAAGATATTATCAAATACCTTGGCAAGACAAGTCTGCCGCTGTACAAAGAAATAAAAAAACAATACAATTTAAATTTAACAGTTGTTTTTTTTAATTTACTGATAATTATTTGCTAATTTAAAGTTCATAGCTGCACTTTTATTGTGCTTTTTCGTACATTCGGGACCTAAAAAACATTTTGCTCTGACAAGAGGCACCCCAGATAGTATTAATTTTATTTTGTCCTCAATTGTAAACTCCTGCAATCGACTTTTGCGAGTTTTTTGAGTTTTTCCCTCCGTTTCTTATAATGTTCAGTGAGAAGCGAACGCCAAAAGATTAAATTTTTTAATCTTTTCGCTAGGGTTCACCCAAAGTTCATTTCCGCAGACTGGCAACGCTATGGAATTTTCTGGTATTTTTTTCGTCGATCAGGGGACCGACGTGAAAAAAAAGCCCGACGAAAAGTGAACGCCAGCTGTTTGCCTCTCGCTCTCTCTCATGACTGGCGTACGGTTTTCGTCGATCTGGATACTAGGCTTAAGCCTCAATGTTTTTCGAAAACTTTCACATGCCTCAGAAGAGTTTTAACACTCTTTTTGGAATGGTGGAGCAGTACCTTATACCGAAACGGAACACTCGCCCAGATGCTATACCAATAAAAACCAAGTTGGCCATCGTTTTAGAGTAATTAGATTTTAAATATTTAGTCTTAGATAACAATATATTTATATTTTGTATCCTTTTATTTAGATTTCTTGCCTCTGGAGACCTGCAACGAATCAGTAAGCAACATTTTGGAGTGATTCTCCTCCAGGTGTCTATTGCCATTTGGACTGCTTTGCGGGATGAATTCCCCAAATGGACGACGGGGAATATGCTGATGTGGGTTAAAGACTTCTAAGACGAATGGAACTTTCCTAATTGTATTGGAGCAGTCGACGGAAAGCATGTGGCGATAAAAGGCCCGCCAAATAGCGGAAGCCTTTTTTACAATTATAAGGTAAGTACTTTTTAAATGCCAATAGAATTTAATAACAAAATCGTTTGTAATGTAGGGCTTTCATTCGATTGTGCTTATGGCAATCTGCAACGCTCACTATCGCTTCACCTACATTGATGTGGGGGCTTTTGGTAGCGAAGGAGACATGAATGCCTTCTCCCACAGCGCTCTTGGCAAACAGTTGCTCTTAGACCAGCTGTCCTTTCCGGAGGACAATGTTATAAACCCCTTATTACATTGTTGGTGATAATGCATTCCCCCTTCATAAGCGCATCATGAAGCCGTATAGTGGCAAGGATCTGCATAGGGAGGAGCGGATTTTTAACTACAGGCTAAGTCGGGCTCGTCGTTGCATTGAGAACGCATTTGGGATTCTCAGCGCTAGGTGGATGGCTGTACAACGAACTTTGTTAAGCAATCCATGCAAAGCTCAAAAAATCATTGTAGCCTGTTGTGCCTTGGATAATTTTTTGATGCGGGAGAGTCCAGCAACTTACTCGATGCAGGAGATACCAAGCACGGTCCTGACCGACTTGCGACCCTGCCGACGAGGTCGCCCACAAGACTTCAGTAAGGAGGTTCGAAACAACCTTAAAGAATATTTAAACGGAAGTGCTGGAAGTGTACCTTGGCAAGACGAGTCTGCCGGTGTGCAAAGAAATTAAAAAAACAATAAACGTTATTTTGCAATGTAAAATACTAGGATACTAGGCTTTAACCAAAAAATGTCAGCAAGTCTTTGAGACGGTTTCCACATATTTAATAATTTTAAATCAAAATCAGTGGTTTTTGTATAAAAGGACTCTCTATAGTTGGGACCAATCAACAAATCGTTTGGCTTCAAGGGATCATATTCAAGTGAGTTTGAGGGCACAAAAAGAAGTGGTCTTCTGTTTATCATAAATTCGATCTCACAAAACAGAGTTTTCAAAACATACTCCCTGTAAAAATTACACCGTATCGTTTAACATGGCTTCTGTTCTGTGTGATTTCAATAGGCCCAAAATAGTCATTCCTACTTTTAAAAAAGCTCTTTCTGTTGCTCTTATTCGACAATTGGGAAGCTGACCCATTAGAGGAGCTTGCGGTTTGGCCTTTATAGTAGCACAAACGGGGTTAAATATTAAGCACACTTTATTCAGACTTGACCGTTCTCTTTCAGTTCTTATTCGCAATTGCCTTAACTTACATGGCGTCGGTTTTAACATTAGACAACGCGAAGTTGGCTGCGATCAGCACCGATATTTAACATTGCAGAGTTGCCACTTTGGCAACTATATAACAGCTGATTATTCTAAGTACTTACGACTATTAACCATCTAACCGTTATATTTAAATAATAGAGTTATACCACTAAAACATATTCATACTCGTGTATACTCGTACATACTAATATATATAGTCAGTGACTTATCCTACTACAACTCGGCCATCCTGACCGGTTGATCACCTGATCAAAATTAGATTTTTTACAAATAATGCAAATACTATTTACAATATTTTCATATTATTTTAAACTAGATGTTATTTATTACTTTTTACTTTTATTCCTTATCCAATGTCTTAAGTTCTGCGCACTCCAAACACATATGTTAGGTTTATGTGCTAATTGAAACCCTTCGACGTCTTTTAGTAAAAATCATCACTTTCGCCATCATATAAGGTCCTTTATGCTTGGGAATCAGTTTTCTAGCAGCACCAACAGTCGTATCAAAATTCTGCACCATTACGTAGTCTCCTTTTTTTCCTTTACTCGACTTTTATTGTACGAATTCTCATTATAATCTTGAAATTGTTTTTGGTGAGTCGCTTATTCTTATCTGTGTTAAACTATCTGACTTTGGATTTTCATTTATATCTTCTAGCCTTTCCTTGAGTTCATCGATTATCTTTCCTTTTTGCTCTGCACCGAAAAGCATCTTACTCGGAAGTTGTCTTATACTTCTACGCAATATATTATTGAGAGCATGTTCTATTTTATCTATAACGTTATCCCAATATACACCTTTACTTTGATCAACTAGTTTCGGGATCATCGGTCCAAGGGATCATCGGTCCATAAATTCCTCAAAGTCCTTAGAAGTAAAACAACTACCACGGTCCGAAATTATACATTTTGGCCTACTGTAAGCTCTAAAGTAATCTTGTAATGCTGTTATTACCTCTTTAGTGCTCGTTGACTTAGTTGAATACAGTCTGACAAACTTTGTGTATCCGTCAACTACAACGAAAATATGTTTCTTTACTCTTGATGAGTCTACTGGACCATAGTGGTCAATATGGATTACTTCGTACGGTTTGTTTCCCTTGGGAATACTGTGCAAAAAGCCTTCTCCCTTTCCTGATTTTGGTGAAAACGCTACACATTTTAAACAATTTTCAATATGTGATACACACTTTTCTTTTAAACACGGAAACCAATACGTTTTTAAGATTATATCCACCATTTTATCCCTTCCTACATGCCCTATTTCATTATGGTATTTATATAATACCTGATCTTCCATTTCTTCCGGTACGTAAAATAGTATCCTATTATCATTCGCTTTTCTGTATACTACACCATTCCTCATTTCAAATAACTTAAGTTCTGTCTTTTCTAACATGGTTTTAAGTTTTTTAACTCTTAGATCTTTTCCTTGACAGATGATTTTCTTCAAAACTGTCGGTTTTCACTATTAGAATACTGTTATAAGATCATAATTTTCCATCTCTAATGCCCTTCTTGAGATCTTTGGATTAAGTTCTGCTTTATTTAATGTTAACTTAAGGGCGATACAATCTGTTACTAGTTTGACATGTTTTCTTTGCAAATATATCCTAAATCTACGAAGAGCATATATAACTGCCAAAGTTTCGAGTTCAAAACTATGCAATTTAGCTTCATCTGCGGTGGTACGCTTAGAGAAATAGAATACCGGGTGTAATTCATCGTCTTTCTTTTGTAGATGCAACGCATCACTCGCGTCGCAATGTAATTCTATATCATCTTTGTAATTATATAACGCTAATAAAGGTGACTCGATAAGCTTTTCTTTTAATTTTAGAAAACAATTAATTTCTTCTTCTCCGAATCGAAATGGTTTGCCTTTTCTCAATAGATCGTACAATGGCTTTGCCATTGTCGAAAAATCCTTTATTAATCTTTGAAAATATGAAAGAGTCCCAAGAA